GTCTAAGTTATATTAATAAGCATTTTTTTTTAAATTATTTTATATATTTTAATTTTATTTAGGTTTTGTCCGTGTGGGCATGTGCGGGTGGAGGGAGGGAGGGAGGGGGGAGTCTAGTGCGTGTACTGTGGTACTGTGATATTACAATATAAATGAAATGGCATCGATTACTGTACACTATAATGAAATAAAAAGATTTGTAAAAAAAAAAAGAATGTGCAGGTTTTAACTAATATGGCAGCACTGGGAAAATGCAAGTGCACTTGGCATTCTCCAAAAATGTTTTCAATTTGCGTTTTCCTTCACTTAGAAAATAACACAAAGATGCTATAAATATAGAGATGATTCTCCAGCCTGGTGTTGGTCAAAATTACACCCTGTCCTGAAAATCAAGGTCACAATCCAAAACCGACTATGCTGCTGGCACCCGCTGCTCTGACCTCACACCAGCAGCAGGACAAACTCAGCCTGACCTTGGAGCAGCCGGGGAGAGTTGGCACCTTTATACAAGAGTGAGACACACAGTGACTCAGCATGCCAGTGACCAGTTGACCTTTAACCGCCACGCTGCACTATATCATGCACACGTGTGTGCTCAAGTATATCAGAAATCCTGGCTCATCAAGTGTTTGTATGCAGTCTTTTATATCAACCATGAAGATAAAAACTCAAAAAGCTAAATCCTGCAGGTACATTAGCTTTCAATAAGCAAAGTGCTACATACAAAATTTGAATTATTGGACAAGTTGCAGTAAAAACAGATGGGTTTTCTGCTGTGCTAATATCAGTGGGTAGAGTCTCTCCAGTTTGGGGCCAGGAAAGCAAACAGGTGAGTTTTTGTTGAGGGGTCCCACTCGCAGTGAAGGAGTTGCAGGCCAATCGGCTGGTGCAGATACTGCACTGATTGGTTTAAACATATGGTGACATAGGAAGGGCAGCCAGCGAAGGTGGACAAGCGATGGAGTGTTTGTTCTACTGACAGGAGCTATCGTACCTTCTCAGACTCCACAAAGTGAGTGGCAACTCCAGCTCTCTGCACGTCACGACCCTTCAGACGGAATCCCGTCAATGCCAGAAATAGTCCCAGCTGCCCCTGCAGCCTTGGCAGGAAATAGCCCCCTCCCACATCAGGGAATAGGCCTGTCAAAATAAAACAGAAAATAATACACATTCAGTTCATAAAGACCACCCCTCACTGTTCACTCTGTCAAGGTACCCAACAATTACACCAAAGCAGGACATAGACTGGATTTTGGGGCTGATTTTGATATGAATGTTGCTGACATTTGATATATAACATCCTATAGTGATGCAAATCCATTTGAATTGTTCAAAAGCTAGCAAGGTTTCCTGAAAATTAAGAGGAATTTCATTACTAACCGCCCCATAAATAACAAGTGGATAAACAAGTAAAGAATATTAGGCTTGTTTTTTTATGACACTGCATCACAGAAGCATTCATTTTAATAAAACAGCAAGGGTTGGAACTTATTTATTCATTATGGATTAGTTTCTGGTGGTTAATTTTACATATACAAGTCAATCCTTTAGTCTAAAACATAAAAACAAGTGAAAACATCAGTGCCCTGTATGTTGTGAAAAACTGAAAAATATGTAGGAAAAACAATTAAATATGTCCCTCGACCAATGCATTAATCAATTATTGGCTGCAGATCAATAACTAACTATTTAAACCAGCATATTGTAGCTTTTTTATGCTGATTGTAAAATAAAAAAGGACAGCAGTCATTGTTCTCAATATTGACCCTCCCTTCTAAAATATGTATCCACCTCAGTCAGAAGTGATTTATGTCCAGTAGGATTAAGTACATCCGTTATCAAAACAAAAAAATTATTGCTGGCAAAAGCTAAACAAGCGGTTTACGAGCAATTATGATTATGAAAGATATACAGTCTTAATCTATACGGAATGTACTCTGATTCTCAATAAGGTCTCCATTCGATTTCAATATTTAGACAGATTCCATTGGTCAACGTCGGGTTTCAGACGACTTTCGTATCGTGACAAGAGGTGAAGG